TATGAATATTTTTTAAAGCATTTGAATTTGTCCCTAAACGACAATTAAAAATGGTTAACGGGTAAAAATAACATCATATTTGTATTTTATATATTGTTCTAATCAATTTTCATATATAACATGTTAAAATCTCGGAGTTACGGTTTAAAAGATATGAATATTTTTTAAAAAAATTGAATCTATAAAAAAGGTTATTTTCTTGACGGACAGCAGGTTAATTAACCGAAATCTGAGTTTTTTTTTCTTCTGAAAGCAGCGAAACATTTTCCATTCTCACTTAATATAGGACCGCGGGTTGATTAATTCACAGAAAATAACTTACTCAACTACCAGGACAAACAAGATATGCTACAGAAAACCAGTTTGATGATACAGGATTGTACAACCCTGTAACTGTAAGTTACAGCAATGTACAACAAGACAGCAAGCTACATAAAGCTTCAGACAATGTACAGCAAGACAGCAAACTACATAAAGTTTCTCTACATAAAGTTGTATTGATCCAGCTTCTTCAAATCCCTGGAAAGTATGACTGCTTGACAATCTAAGCTTGGACAAGGTAATTAAGAAACATCAAGTAGAGAAACTGATATGTAAACACATATTCAGATTGCATCAGCAAAAAAAATTCCTGAAGAAAATAAATAAATAAAAAGCATACACTTGCTGCATTGCTGCAAGTTAGCTGAAGATGAAGGATCCATCATGTTATGGGGAAATTCATACACTTCAGGCAATGTGCCACATGTGTGGAACATAAGGAGAGTAATAATGAAGCTGAGAAAAGCACGGATAACCATCAGTTACGGCAGCCTGAAAAGGAAAATGAGTATTTAAATGAAGAGGGTAATGCTTGGAACATGTAAATACTATAGCACACGAAGGAAATGTCATGAACATTGAGAGCATTATAATGCCGCACCTGGAAATGGAGTTCAACACAAGAGAAGGACAAGAATTCTTCGACTTCTATTTGATTGTCGCCGGATTCTCAGTTACCAATGTTGCAGCATCGAGAACGGCAAACAAGAAGAGGTACAATGAATATAAAAGAATCATAATGAACTGTAACAAAAATGGCAAAACAAAAGAAGTAGAAAGAGAAAGTATAGTACCTATTAGGAGGACAACAGTTATAGCAAAATCAGAGTGCTAGGTAGTGATGGCGATCTCAGAAAGCGGTGGCCACTGGAAAATTCACTATCATCTCACTGTAAAATAAAACAGTCTCAAAAGAACTACTCCCTCCGTCCGAAAATACTTGTCGGAGGAATGGATGTATCTAGACGTATTTTAGTTTTTAGATGCATCCATTTTTATCCATTTCTTCGACAAGTATTTTCGGACGAAGGGAGTACTAAAATTTACAGAAGCCATAGGACCATAAATCCATCATCAATGTATTATAAATTAAACACCAGGAAACTAATAATATACATTGAGACAAATCCATGTGATCAAGTATTCTATATGAACTCACTGTACGAACAACAATGACACACTATATGGAGCTACACAGCTTCTAGAATAAATTACAAAATCTATAGGGCAGTGTAAATCCACCATCACCATACTGTAAATTCAACATCTATAGGACAGTGTCAATCCACCATCACCATATTGTAAATATGCAGTCAGATTAGTTTGTGTGATGAAGCATTCTATATCAGCTCACTGTACAAACAACAGTCACCAACTTTGTGGAGTAACTGTAAATTACAAAATCTATAAGACAATAAATCCAACATCAGGACCTTGTAAATTCAACATCAAGGTACTGTATATGCATTCAAACTAATTCCAGTAATTATATATGCATTCAAACAACATTAGCATTCTTGTAAACTGAAAACAACATTGTTGGTTACCTATTACACGTTCTAGAAACAAAATTATATGATGATACTCATATCTATCAGACAAACTTTGGGCTATTGTGTAATAGCATAGTTCAGATTAGCTGCTTCAAATCACAGGGGTCAGAGAAACAAACTGACTCTCCTTTTGGCTATTGTGCAGTAGCATGGTTCAGTTCAACCGCTTGATCAAAACAAGTCCGAATTAGTATTACTCGAGTAGTTTGAATGATGTACCTTGGCTACACGGGTAGATGTAATTCCGATGAAGTCGGCAGTACGGAGAAATTCCGGCCAGGTTGGCAGAACAGTGAGATTTCCATGACTTTGGCAGAACGGCAAGACACCAATGTCGAGCACGGATGAAACGACGCAATTGGGTTGGGGCTTCGGTCGAGGGAGTGGATGTGTATTTATATGTGTTCGGCCTCTTGAACAGCCAAATCAGTCCCTGCCGGACATCCCATGGGCACACGAAGGATTGGATCAAGACAAACACATTGCAATCCAGTATGTGGAAGGCAAAGCATAGAGATAAAAACTACCAATACATATGTTTCGAAAGTGAGTCACTAATAAGATGAGAAAGCTAGGATGCTTGTGGTAGAATATATGTGCCTTTCATTGCTACACCTGCCATTATCTAAAATGAGAAAGTAAGTCATATCAGTAAGTGTGGTCTGCCACAGAGCATAAAGAAACTCAGTTGATTAAGTAGCTATATATGCACATGTTAAAAATTATAGGCTACAAAGCCAAAGAAAACAGGAAACACCAAGACACACAATCGGTCCATTACATGAGAAGTAATCTGATATTATCGCTCCATTTTATACATGAAGCCCCATTTTTCAGTTTAGATGGCAGTTTAAAAGCAAGAGCACCAACTCATACTATGGAAACCTAAAGAGCAGACAACAAAATTACCCATCTACATAATCTAACAAACTTTAAGCTAGCAGTCCTGTGACCACAAGTTTATTACTATGGACATCTGCACTTTTCTACTTCTAATATAATCATATAATGGGTAAGCACAAGTTTCCAGTATAGGATATGCATGTGGACCAAATTTCATCAGCTAGAAGCAATATATCATGTAAACATAGCACACACTGTAATTTTCTCAAAAGGTGCAGTCCCTAGCCCATTAAGCATATTTTGAAGCACAAACAGAACTAATAAAAAAGGGTAAGATTATTGAAAGAGTGTAGCTTACCAAGATCATTCCTTTTTCTTGACTACAATGTGGTCCTAAACTTCAGATCATCATGGCTGCAGTACAGACAACAGAGAAGCTTTGACTTGATTAGATTTAGAAATGATCTTCAGTAGTCTTCCTGCGTCGTAGGGTACCATATTCCCATGAAGCTAATATCAACAAAAAAAACGTCTTAGGCCAAAGTCATGAGGAACATAATAAAGATATGCGTAGGAAATTAATATAGAGTAATCCAAAAGGATAACTAATCAATTGAAACGTATCTACAAAATAAATGTCTTACTCCAAAGTCTTGAGGAACATAATAAAGATATACATAGGGAATTAATATAGAGTAATCCAAAGAGAGAACTAATCAATTGAAAGGTATCCAGATCGTATGAGGAATGAAACAACACCTTCATTAACATGTCAGACCAGGAAGAACCAATCTAACAATAGTCAAATAAATAGAGGAGCAGGCATACCCGAATTCCACTGCGGAAAGAGCGGTTGATTACTTTTCACGCTTATTCCTTAAAATAGGTATTTTTATCAGATGGATCAAATGAACTCTAGCCATAACTCATCATTCTTGGTATGGTTTGTGGCACAGGATGGTGGTGTCGCACTCCTGCAATTGAGATGTGTTTAAAGTATGAACAGCAGCTGCATTCACCTCAACTTAACTCAGAAAGCAAATCCGCGCAAAGAGAAATTCAAAAGAAAGATAATAGTTGATAGAAACCTAGATCAAACTGAGTAAGAAATAGCTCAGATTAAGCATAACTTGGCCAGAAAATAAAATACCTAAGACTCTGATGTATGGGTTTGCTCTAACTCCACAAGAATTTTTTATCTGGGGCAGTGTTTTCTATTGCAGAAAGTCTAACACAAGACTGTGCATCAATTTTATGCCAACAATGTATGGATAAAGTAATCTTTACTAAATACAATTTAGGAAAAATGCCGCCAACTACAGGTAGTACCCAGAAAGCTAGTAAAGCTACATAGGTTCACGGCATAGCAAGGAAATTCCAATATGTACGTGTCAACCAAAATCTTTAATTTGCAAGATTGAGAATCTACACCTGAATGCATCTGTAAGAGGGAAAGAAAGAGGCTGCGGGTCAGCAATCGCAATATGACCTGGGCCTTGGCATGACCATGTGATGCGCGGGGCTGCAACTCCGGCTAGCCACCGGCGAGCAGCAGCAGGACCACTACGCCCTTCTCTCTCCCTCTAGCCTCCCATCTTCTTCCCGTCCTCTCTTTTCTCTGCCGCTCATCTCTCTCTTCTCTCATCAGCGTCGGCCATGCCGCGCCCGCCAGCCGTCGTGCTCCAAGCTCCGGCCGCCTTCAGATCTGCCGCCAGCGCTCCATTTCCCACCGGATCCTGCGAGATCCGACAGCTCCTCGCCGACTGTGCCGCCGCAAGGCCGCCGTCAAGCTCGATGTCGTGGGCGACGCCCCAGCCCTTCCCGCTCGCCCACCTCTCCTCCATGCCTCTTAATTTTCTCCTCATTCGTCTCCGCGCGCGGCTCCGGCCTCCCTGCCGCAGCTTGACGCGGCGCCGGAGCTCCCATGTCCGCCCCCTGGAAAAAAAAGAAAAATAAGGATCATGGGTTGAATAATCTCAAATGCAGGGGTGTTTTTGTAAAATCAAAACGTTTTCTCCGATACCCACTTAAAATAAGACTGCGGGTTGAATTCTCAGAAACGCGAGTACTTTTTTGCAAAACTGCCACGTCGTGCCAGTTTTGCAAGAAGGTCCTCCTGTTTTTCGAAAATTGTACCCGCAGTCCAAGTTAGAAAACATCTGGGCCCAAGCCTGTCGAGCGCCGCCCGTACGCTGCACCCGCAGCCACGCACTCGAGGCCGAGCTCCCGAGCGTGCCGCCGCCTCGACCTCGCGACCCGCCGGCGACCGGATCCTCGCCGGAGATGAGTGCCGCCGTGCCCTGCTCCCTCCTCTCTTCCTCTGTCTCCTCTCACCTCGCTCATCCCCCAATCTCTCTGTCCCCAGGACGAACAGGAGCATGCCATGGCCTCGGATCCGCGCCGCCGTCGCCGGAGAACGTCGCCCGCCACCGGTTCTTCGACCACAACTACCGGATCAAGTTGCCCCGCCTCCGATCTACCCGTTCCCGGCCACCCCAACCTCGCCTCGTCATTGGGCGCGCAGAGAGACGGCCATGGCCGCCCGATTGCCGAGCGCCGCCGGCCAAGGTGGCTGCCCGATGCACGAGCGCCGCCGGCCAAGGACCCGCCGGCGTACAGACCCCCTCCACGCCATCCCCATCTCGCCGGAGACCTGCTCCAAGTCTGGCCGCCCTCCAAACAGGTGCCACTCCTCTCCCTGCTTCGCTTCCTCCATTGTCGCCTCGCACTGTTGCTTCCCCGTCAGATGCAGCACAGGTCATTGGTGTACATCTGTACATCCAAAATTTTCTGCAGAAAATCAGTTTATATAGGTATATGACAAAAAATACTGCCTGTCGTCAGTACGCGGAGACAGAGGCCAAGGATGACCGGCAACTCTTGGAGGAGGACACCTCAAATCAGTCTGGGAAGTTGTCGTCGTTTTCCTCGGGCAGCAATGCAAAATATTGTAATGATACTTATCAACGTTTTTATTTGGTTGTGCAGTACTCGCTAGGTGCTTGACGAAATTCTCATATGATGCATGTGGCAAGGTTCCTAGAGGATAATGTAGATTAATGATTCCATGGAGAGCTGTCAGAATCTTCAATTGGAGGCAATTAAAGACGGACCTCACCGGATTGGATTTGTCTAGCATTCCAGCTAAGTTTCAAGGTAAGCAAGACGTTGGTCCCTTTAGCTTCCTCCAATGAGTTGATCTTCTGAAACTGAACAAAAACGTAAATGCATTGACAGAGCTATCCGTTTAAATGTGTACAAGTTTTTTTTTTCTATTTGATTCGTTTATATATTTAGAAATTATGTTGTAAATAACCTATTGTTGATGGTGTCTGTTCTCCTTTCTGAAAAATTCCAAGAATAAGCTCTCATGTTCAGTAAATGCAATTCGGTTGATTAGGTTAATAGGATTTCATTTTACATAAATTTCATTGTTCGTTCTGCACAAGGACACAAACTACAGTGTAGTGATTCATTGAATAATCTGCATCTTAATACTGCTATTTTCTGGGATCTTAATAAGCTCATGCTATCATCCACGAAGCGTTTGCTCAGTCATAAGTTGTCATTTCTTTCTAACCATTTGCCGACTCGGTTACGCTGCCACACCATGTTCATGCAGAAAGAAACCTGTAACATGTGTTATAATAGATAGCCCTTTGTGAAATTGTTAACTTCACTGTAACTTGTGGGATCATATAGAAGCAAGACGCATGTTGGTCCTGATTGAAGTTCCTTTGATAGAAAAGATTTTGTAGCTCTGAATGTTGCTTACTTGGCTATATACCATGAGAACTTAATCAAGTGTTCTGATTTTTCCGCAAAACTAGGTCACAAAACTAATATTAATCTCCTTTGAATACTAAATCCTTTTTCTTTGCTCTGAATTTTTTTCTTGCCTTTTGTTGATTGTACAAGAGATCTCCTGGTCGAAGTTTACTTATAAAGCGTGTTTCACTTATGCAGGTAGCTTTAAGACTCCATGCAAACAATCACTGATTAGTAGGTAGTAGGCATGCAGTTTCAGTTAAACCGAAGCTTAATCCACATACATTGTTCACTGGAGGTATCCGTGCCATTACACTCATCCCTCTGTGTGAGTGACACAACTATGTACTGCTATAAAAACACTGGAGTGCCCAACAATATCTTATAATGGCTTTGGTACGTGGCAGTATGAGGCCTGGGATAATGTTTACTTGTGATTCACAAAATGGAAGTATGTGCTATATCTTTGTATGTATGTCTTCTTTTCTCTTATCCTCAAAGGCTTTTTGTTTCTATTTTTTCCATACAAGACCAAACGCTTCTCTTCTTTGTTTGAAGGAAATTAAGGAAACATGTCACGTTCATTGTCGCCTGGTTTATGGTAACTGGTGTTGCCCCCTCCCTTGGAATCTCTCAGATCTATGGCATAGCCAGTTCTCCATCCCGCAGTTTTCGCATGTTGCAACGCACTGGCTCTTTTGTAGGACCATCGTCGACATAGACAAGTTCTGCTTCAAGGAAGAGACATAGAAGAAGGCTCGACAAGAGGAAGGAAGCAGGTATTACATACAATTTTTTGCAGAAGTAAATTCAGCGATATGAATTGAACTAGCTGATTTGGCTATTTTATAAATGCAGCATCCATGTAAAGGAATTTCTGCAATGTAATTCTGTGAATTGCAGGTGTGGTTTAGCAACGTACCTCATACATGGTTGGTTGCTGACAAAGGAGGGCAGAATTGGATTACAAAGGCTAAAGGTAAATTTACATTTCCTGGAGGAGGAAGCCAGTTTATACATAGAGCAAGTCAATACCTGGATCAAATATTTAAGGTTTGTTTTGATTATATTATAAATTACTCAAATCTTTCTAGAAACAGTAAAGGTAACTTTAAATTACTTAAAAGAGGAAAGCAAATGAGTACTTTTTGTGTAGTGTTCGACTAAAACCATAACTTAAAACATATGGGTTTTACGCGCATCACTGCTTAATAGGGACATGAAGAAGACAAATAGCGGACTACATCACCTTCCACTGCTAACACCTCTACCACTGTTGAAGCACATGTTTCTCTATTTTCCCAGATGGTACCATCTGGCTCTCGCACTAGAGTTTTTCTGGATGTTGGCTTTGGAGTAACAAGTTTTGGGCCATACTTAATTTCACGTGAATTTGAGCATGGTGTTCCTGCAATGGTGGCAACTAATTTAACACCGGCTATTATCCAATGTTCCCGCTGTAGAATAAATTCGACATGTGATGGTGAGCTGAGGTATAGTCATGCTTCGTCTAATACACCTGAATCCTTTTCTTGATGATCCACTTAATTACTTTTATCATAATTTACCCAAAGATGGACTTAGCTGGATAAATTATGATGAAAGTAATTAAAGTGGAATTCTGCTCTGGAGGTTAATAGAGTGTCAGAACTGGCGAGTACTTTCCTTGCCCAGCACAGCCTGTTTATAAGCATGAAGAGGCCCAACATGAGGCATGGAAAGATATGCTCCTTAATACTATCATGTAAATTTGTTACCTTAGGGCTATATAATATACTCAATGTGTTAAATTTACTTATTTTCCGCATGATGAATCTATAGTTGTTGGATTTAGCCGGAGTAATCTCTTCATTTCTAATAATAGTTTTCTATAACATTACTTATATCAGGCCGAGAAGCCTCATAATGAAACACTGCATTGTTTTGTTGCTCTGTTCCGAAATGATTGTTCACAGATTAAATTATTTGTAGAGATGGAGGACCTAGCTCTCAAACGGACCATGTTGGGAGATTGTGAGGAAAATATGTTTCTATGTGGAGGAAGCCTTTTATAATTAACTCATGGTACATGAGTCGTGATCCTAGGGTCAAACATCCACTTTGTGATACTGATGATAATTCCAGATAATGTCTGGTATTTTCAACCCCACCTGGCATGCTTTTAATTGTTAAGCCTCAATTCAAGGACTAAATTCAGAATATGTATTAAGAAAGTAGTCCATACTTTTTTTAGATTTGTTTTGAACATTTGCATAATTATGCAATTATCTCTTGCAAAGTGTAGTCTCATGATTTCGACTTATTTTTTTGTTGATGAGTGAATGTGTGATACGTAATTGGCTTCTGCTTTGCCAGGCTGCGAAATCCATAGCTCAGATGCAAGAAACTTTATTATCAAGCCGTTTTCTACACACGACTAATTTTGTTACTACTTTCCATTATTGCGTGCCGATCATGCTATGTTTATGAGGCTCTAGCTAACAAGGCTTGCTCCCAGCTGCAACCTTGAACTGTAGAGGTTTCAGCTTCCTGATGGCTGATTTTTTGTGTCTTTCTTTTGTTTATGTTCACAAGGTGTACCTGCGAGTTTTATGGAATGGAGATGAAAT